TCCAACATGATTTTTTTTTTTTGCTTTCAGGTAATATGGAGATAGGCAACTCTCATTTGCTTGGAATAAGTTTTGTAGGATTCTTTTTCATAATTTCTTAGGAATATGTAATTCTCAACACATTATCTGCTTTTTTGTGCTTTTGAATCTTTTCTTCTTTCTAATCTTCTTTTGTATTAAAAATAGGTGCAACTTGAATCAATTTTTTTCGTCTCTGGGAGTAGAAAAATAGGAGTATTACATGGTGTCCACTTTGTGACTTCACAGACACTCATCAACTTTTACTTTTGGAAATTGGTTAAGAGAGAATTATGTGGAAATGGGTATAAAATTAGCTGATGTGACTAACCAAGACATGTCTGAATGGTTCGGAAAGCATTTCAAGTAAGTTGCACTCATTGTGATTATCTTCGGTGCTGCTTTGAATAGGTTCTAAATGTATAATTAAGTTATTGCACTGTGTCGTTGGTGTTGGTAATTTAACACATTTATTTTAATACATTTTCACATTTTTCATAGATTCTTAATAGTTATTTGACCAAGATGGTTATTGATACATGCTTTACACTTTACAGAACTTCTGCGCTAGCATAAGGGAAAAAAAGTTGGAAGGCGTAGTAATTTAAGTTACATAAAGAATGGAAATATAGAAAATTATTGACCTTGATCAAATGTTGATGATAAATGATTATCTCAGTAGCTATACTCACGGTTTCTACCCAATGCCAGGAATAAGTGGAAAGAGGTTTCAAGTAATTGTAGATAAATTAAAAATCCAATGGAAAGCATATATTTATTTCTATTTTGTGTATGAACAAATTGTTTTGTCATACGTGGATGCTGAACTGGCATTCGTAAATTGACTTGATCTTCTTTTTTCGTAGATTTTACTTGAATCATTCTATGTATATGAATGAGTTGCATTGTGCTTGGCTAATAACCAAATCAAGAGTGAGGTTTTCTTATGGATGGTAGAAATATTGCAAACTTGAACTTTCTTTCGAACTATGGATACGATATGTTGTAATAAGTCAATTGTAATTCTCTTAGACCTATTTCCCTGAGAAATTCTGTGTTTCATTCAATTAGAGTTGTCACTACAAGAATGACGATGTAAACAAGCACAAGAATTGTTTATCTATTGAGGAAGGGATGTGTGAACACTACAAAGAGAAGTTGTACTAGATATTACGTGGATTATACTATAAATGGTGGACTATTTCATTTGTGATTAAATTCCTTTATCATTCTCCTATTAGGCAATAATCATGTGTATTGCTTCTAAAAACACATGCCCTTTCAAATTTTGCTGAACTTCCATATCTACGACGATCTCTGTACCCAACACTGAGATTGTGGATTTATGATTTGGCTAATTTCTTCTTTGTTCAAGAGCCACTACTTTGTTACTCTATACCAAATGACATAACAGTTACTTGCCTGTGATATTATTGGGATCAGTTGTTTGTACTTTTTCATTTGAGTTAGCAGGTTTCAACATATCTCGACACTAAAACAAGTTCTACCTCTCAAGTGTGGTTGCACTTCTATGTATATGTGAGCATCCTCTAATTTTAATCTAAATTAGATGTTACTGATCCATACATGAGTAGTTCTAGAATATGTAGTGCATTAATTCCAAGTAATTTTTCTTCTTTTTTTTTTATACTTTTTGAAAAACAAACAATTCTTTTTACCCAAAAATGAGCAGAGCCTCTCTTCAATTTGGGAGTCTTACTTGCACAAACAATTTGTTAGTATTTCTACTTTATGATTAATTTGGTTGTTGTCTATAATGGTAATCTTTACATACTACATTCATTTACTACTTTTCTTAGAAATAGTCAGATGAAATATAAGCTTGACAGGTTCAATTGTAGATGAATTATAAAGCATGTATAAAGCTTTATATTTGTTTTAGCTTCGTGTATGAACATATTATTTGTTGTGATATGTGGATGTTGAACTGAATGTGTTGGGAAGTTTTCTATTTCAAGATATATCAAGTATTGGCATGCTGCATAACTATCTTTTGGTGTGGCTTTGAATCTACTGAAATACTTTTTGCTTTCTCAGATCAAATCTGAAATAAATTATCCTCAGATAATTTTGCTTATTTTTTCTTTATTTCTAGATCAACAACTTGAATATAATTAGAATGAGATAACTTTCTAATATAATTTTTATCTTTAAAAAAAGACACTCATGTGCTCATATTTTGGTAATATTGTGTTTTTTCATTTGTACATTTTGTTGTCGTTTGTAAATTGACTTTACCTCCTTTTTTGGTAAATCTCACTTGAATCAGTCTCTGCACAAGAAATACTTGGGTTATGCTCATGGCTTGAAGCCAGATGAAGTGTGACGATGGCATATAATTTTGAGTTTTCTTGCAATAGGATGTGGTATTTTTTTAACTTAGCTCTCCAAGTCTTTTACACTCATTCTACGGAAAGTTGTTCTCTGTTTAATCCAGCCAGAATTATCATAATAAGAAACAACTCTTAATAATACCTACTATGCTACATTATATAATTCATTGAGACCTGTAAACTTGTACCAATTTTTGTTATTGTCACTATTATTATTATTTTTTTAACTAAAGATTACTTGTGAGAGTCTTTTGGCACGGGCCATGCCCCGCTAGTATAAGAATAAAAGTCACAATTATTATCATTTATTGTCTAAGCTTTTCATATTGTTTATTGAAAATCAAAACTCATCCACATATTGATTTATGAAATCATTAATATTCACTTTTAACTTCTTCATATTTATGTAGTGTTTGAATTACATCAATTATTCAGTTTCTATACAAAATTGTATTTGAGCTCTCTTGTGTATTTATTGTTTTTAATTTTTAATGTATTTTTTAATGAAATATTAATTAATTAGTAAATGTGTGAATTGAATATAACTTCTGCTTTCTTTCTTGAATTTAGAATTACAATTTTTATCCTTTTCATATGAAAGTTTTGTGTAGATATATAAAAAAAGTTTAGGCTATTAATTTTATCAATTACACTAATTAATATGCTCAGATTTTAAAGTAATAGTTGTGAAAAAGTTAAATTATAAGTAAGAGAAATTACATGAACTCTAAATTTAAATACTCCTTCCGTTCCATTTTATGTGGCAATATTTGACCAAGCACGGAGTTTAAGAAATAAATGAAGACTTTGAAATGTTTATCAAATTGTCCCTTCAAAAAATAGTCATATTAAAAAGTAGACTCACTTTTCTCTCTCCTTATAAATGTATTGGAGTACTATCTTTAAGATTAAGTGGGACCAACAAGGGTAAAAGAGGAATTGTACCTTTAAATACTTACCATTTAAGGAAATGTGACATTCTTTTTGGGATTGACCAAAAAGGAAATGGTGCCACATAAAATGGGACGAAGGGAGTAGTTAAGTAAATTTATAGACGTAAATAGTATTACATACAGGATATTATTACTAAAATAATATAAATAATTTAAAACACCAAAAATTGAGATAGCAACATATATAAATTGGTGCATAAAGAAATATGTCTTTGTATTGTCGAAGGAAAACTTATAATTCTCTACTTTTTTTTTCTTGAAACTAATTTAATTCTACTGTTTTTTTTCTTTTATTGTTATTTTCTATTTGATTTTTTCGTATAATATATATATATTAGTATTGCAATTTCTTAAATTTTTTATATCAATTAAATATAGAAAATATGACCGTGCGAAATGCGATTTGATTAACTAGTTTACTACTCCCTCCGTCCCATATTATAAGTCACCCCTTTCTAAAAATAGTTGGACCACAATATATGTCATTTTATAAAATTTATGCATAAATTACCATATTTTACCCATTATACCCTTAATTGATTAATTAATTAATCTTGAAAATGTATTTACTTTGACTAACCTAGGAAATCTACAAGTAATTAATTTCATTGGGAGAGTACTTCATTCATTAATTAATTACTTTCTTTATTCACTACTTATTCTATAAAATCTGATTTTGAAAAAAAATATCAACAAACAAACTAAAAATAAAAGATGAAAAAAAATTCAAAATAATCTTGAAAGTTGAAACTTCAACAAATTTTATCAAGGAAGATGACATTTAAAAAGTTCAAAGGATGTAAAAACAGAAGACTCAACCAAAACATGTGAAGGCCAAATTGAGAAAAATCAAGATCCAAATAAAAGAGTTATGCACTATTTAAATAAAAAAAATAAATGATTTGTCGAACTAGAACTAAAATTCATTTGTTGTCTAATTTCATTATCAATAACATCAGATTCAACAAGAAAATTTAGATCAATTTGAAGTAATGAAATTTGAATATTTTGTGATGTTGTCATGTTTGCATTAAGAATTTATATATAAAAATATTTAAAAAAACATTTTACACAAAATATATAGGAAAATTGATGTGGGAAAAACTTGATTTTTAATTTTTTTTTGGATCAATTGGTGAAAAAATTTGGCTCCAAAAAGTAAAATTTAAATAGTCATCCAAATGCATTTATATTTTTGAAATCTAACATTTCATCATATATTACAAAGTTGTCATAACAAATATTAAATAAGGGCATAAGGGTAAAATTACCTTATTTCTTAATGCAAGTGCAAATGGAAAAGATGAGTTATATTATGGGACGGAGGGAGTATATAGGAGTAACTTATATATAAATATAATATCCATAGTGTAAGGAAAAAATGGACAAGAAAATTAGAAAGGGAAAAAGCAAATCTTGAGTAGAAGGTAAACATGTTACTTATCAAAATCACTTCTCAGCTCACATTCGCATACCCAAATTTTTTGTATATATATATATATATACTTGATACTCAATATTATACATTCATTGAAATAGAGTACTACTCTTTGTGGAGAGAGGGAGGTTGTTGAGGGATGGAGGGATGCCTACAACATGAACCAAAACATGTTTGCACAAAAACAAACCAAAACAAGAAATAGAGAAGCAATGCCAGGTTAAATTAATCATTCTAGGATCCTCCAAACATTATCTTTTACATACATTTATCATATACTAACTTATTACCAAGGTCTAAGAGATGCAGAAATGGAAAACGATTACTCTACTAGATTAGGGACCTGTGCCACCATATGTACATTTGACTTCACACAAACTGAATGTGTTCGGTTTGACAGTAAAGTGACCATTGAGAAGCTATATGTCTTGCTTAGGCTTCCGACTTACTTCCGAATACTGACCACCCATCAACTGTAATATTTCTCCCCACAAACTCTCTGATGACGAAATTTGCGAACCTGCAAATATCAGATTTGCACTACAAGACGCAATATACCAATAGCCAGATTCAATCTCTTCCCTCAACTGGTCAAGCTGCCACCCCGCATAGCCAACAAAGAATCTGAAATCATGAGATTTAAGCACCCCTTTGTTTACCAATGCAGATGCTTCTTCCAAACTGTTTCGAGCTCCAAAACACACGCCAGGAATCACTTCTTCAAACCTAGGTAGCCCTGAACCAGCCCCTGTTCTTAGTAAAAACATACTTGCCTCAAGGGGCCCACCAAAGTGCAACGAACAATCAGCAAAGGTTGTTGCCAGGTCAACATTTGTGGGTTTCATGTCTATGATCTTTTTGCCTAGTGGCCGGTTTATGACTACACCAAATGGACCCTCTTGCGGGTGCCTGTTTCCAGATCTGAGGAGGAAAATTACTTTTCTTTCAAACGTATGAACTCCGTCGAGCTTTTCAGTGGCAACAAGAACACAGCCATTCTCAGGTGCTGAAATTGGATGCGCCCACTTCAAGGGAAGAGCTTTGGGACCAAAACTTGTTCCCTCTTGCTTTTGAGTGTCAGAGACTGCATTTGCTGCCTGCTGTAAGAGTTTTAGAAGAAACCCTATTCTTTAAACGCATGTTTTAGTATATTTAAATTATGATTTGACAAGCTCCGAGAGAGAAGATTTAGATATATAAAACAAAAAGAAAAATAGATAAATGCCTAAATGATATGCTCAGAAGAATACAAGCACATAGGCACTCTTTAAAAGAATGATATCAAGTGAGTCCTAGGGAAGAAAATCACAGGAACTAAAAAGTTTATCCTAGATAGGACCTATAACTCATTCCCACATGTTTACTTTGTTGAACAAATCACAAACAGCAACAGTGGCAAAGGAAAATATACTAGGTGATTTCCTACCATTTGTCCAAGCCATGGTGGACAGAGTTATCCTTTACCTGTGCTGGTGGAGTAGCAAGTACCCCATAAAATTAGTCGAGGTGTGCACAAGCTGGCTTGGACGCCATGGTTATCAAAAAAAAAAAAAAAACTGTGCATTCTAAGCAAACTGTTACGCCATTCGTACACGGAAGACAAAATTTTAGGAACTCAGAGGTACTGTCCCCAGACCCCACTTGTGGGATTACACCTGGGTGTGTTGTTGTGGAAGTATCCTAGAGTTGATCAACAATGCCTCAAACAGGAAAACATGGTGAATCATGTCATTGACACACATTAAAAGATGATTATCAACATGCAATATCATCATGCGAAAAGGAAAGTGAGGTGACTTATTAGTTTATAAGATGATTTACACACTTGCGAAAGTAATCCATAAACCATACCAGCTCCTGAATGTAAAGAGATGCTCGGAATTCCCTCCAGTCCAAGGGCTTCTGATGAGATTTCGGAGATCCAGTATCCTTTGAGCTATCGTTTTCAGAAGATGGGTTGCTTCCTTTTAAGTTATCTTCTTCTGGGCCCTTCCCTTCAGTATAATCCACATTAGAGAAAGGAACAAGTTATGCCTAATCAAGATGCTATTAAATCTATGTATTCATAAAACACTATGAGAAGCATCAATTAGGAAAAAAATTTACAATCTAACAACCCATCACTGTAGGAGAAGGAAGAAATATCAGCTATACCTTGACATGTACACACTTGCTCAAGTGCAAGGTGTGTCATTGTGTCCACGACTGATCAAGTTATCATTAATCATTATGAGAGAATCATAATGGCATATGAACGTGAATTGCGAAAAATGGACACTATTAATCACTCCTTCCTTCCCACCCCCTTCCCCTTGTAATTCTTCTTCCCTCCTCCACCCCCCCCCCCCCCCCTCTCTCCCCTTGTTTTCTTCTTCCCTCCTTCCCCCTTCCCTTGTATCTCTTCTTCACCCCTCCTCCTCTCTTTGTTTGATAAAAAAAACGTAGTTTCAGGTCATACGAGAGATTGGTGTATTGTGAATCCATCATTCTACCAAAACCAGAGAAGTTACATACAATATTCTATCAACTGTTACATCAATCTACCAAACTGACAATAGAGAGAATTGGAAAACACTGAGTCATAGATCTATTTTTCCTAGCAAACCTTTTCACCTCTCAAGCTGATATTAGATCCCATTAAGGAAAATGGCCACTAGTGTAATCACATTTTTATAACCAATTAAGTGTGAATAATTTTTTTATATTATATAACATTTACTATAAACTCTATTATGATTTCCTAAAAAATGAAATTCTTATTTTTTATTATGAGATTCGGAAATATGAAGTGAAGTTTTATTGTTTATCCAAAATCAAGTTTTGAGAGAAGTGTAAGCATTTGTTTATCCAAAATCAATTATGTGAAAGCATAGCACCACCATTAATAAATTGGTGCATTGGCACTTACTACAACCACTCAAAAAATAATCCTAGAATGATGTTTATTGGTTAATCCAATACCATCATCATTACATCTGTTGTACCAACCAATGATCATCTAAGCATGAATGAAAATTGTATAACGAAAAGTATAATTGAGTACAACAGATTATCCAAATTAATCTGCCAATATTCCATTCACACAATATGTTGGTACTATTCATGCCTACTGCAAAAGCCTGAAAACTTTATTTTGTGATAACTGATAGAGTGATAGGTCACCAGCATGTCGTCGTTATACTTCATTCAACAAGATTTTATTTATCCTAGCATTCACTGAGTCAGGTGATTTAGTGTTGAAGTTTGAGAACAAGCTAGTGCTTGCTCGCTGAAAAAAGGCAATCCCTCATGAGAAAAAAAAAAATCATAATACGGGATAAAATTATATCCTGTTGTTTAAAATTCTATGCTGCTCCATTACAAAATACCCTAACTAGAAAAACTTAGATAACTAAGAGAAACAATATGAAATTATCTTTGACTAAATAAGAGTAATCAATTCTTTAATGGAAAACGGCATTGTGGTCTAAAAAATATTTTCTGTGTTTACATCAAATAGATTTTGGACAGAAAAGTTGTTTAAAGTTTAACCAAAGCTTGTAGCCAAGTCATCATTAAGGTTAGCTGAGGAATAAATTAGACAGCAAAAAGGCACAAGCCAAGTGAATCATTAAAAAGACTCTTAATGTTGTATGACTTAGTAATTTTACCTTAAATATTGCTTTGAATGGTGGCTAGAAGGAGAATCAATGTTCACACTTGGTCTTATAAATACGTTATGGACTTATGTCTAGATATTGAATGGGACTCACAAAGTAAACGGAGAGGAAATTCTGTTGAGCAACATAAACAATTACAAACAAGACAGTGCATCCATCAAAACATTAAATAGGTGGATCCGTAATCAACACATGAAAACTTCGTGAATAAAAACTACAATGTTCTAGTTTCAAAAAAAAAAAAACTACAATGTTCTATCATAAATGAACATAAATTTGCTAAGTCTAACCCAAGACCAACACATAAACCCTATCTAACCAACCCAATATTTTAATAGATGGTAACATGGAAGGGTCCAAGTCAAGACCAAGTGACCAATCAGAAAGCCAAGGCGGGGTAATTCAAGATTTCTTGCACTGGATGCCACTAGGGGTTATAAGGGCACCTTCCCATCAACACCTAAGACCAATAAGACGCCACAGATATGTTCTAGTTTGGCAGCCAAGTCAGCAGGGTAGGCCAACATTGGCACAAAGGGAGTGATACCTTCTTCACATGCTTTCCATAGATTTAGTAGTGCTACCATTTGTGCTGCTTTGTCCATCTAAAAATTTGATTAGTAAATGCTATTTTATTCAAAAAAGATGGTAAAGCTATCGAATACAAGACATGTACAAAAAGTTTTCTCTCAGTGCAATAAAACATGGAAACATCATTCTGATGCGACAAGCAGCCTCACAATGGGTCTCTGAGAACCAGCTACACAACTTTTACACGAGGCTTTAACGAGAGATGCTTGAATGACTCATTACTTCTCAGATACTGTAAATGGTTTAGCAACCTAGGTTCAATGACAACGTTCCAATTGTCTGTAGCCTCCTTTTAGATTGCCTTAACCTATCATTGCTTTAGATTTGCTCTTCTCAGTTTTCAATACTAATCATGATAGACCTCAGTTTATCTACCTACTTATAGGCAACTGAAACATCCAGTAAGTCATCAGACAACAGGTGTTTGATACTTTATCCCACCGCACTCCAATACAAAATAATCTCTCAATTATGTCTGAAGTCCACTCTTTAGCCAGGTCTCCTATAAATCTAATAATAATAACAGCAACTATGTCTCAATCCCAAACTAGTCAAGCCTGCTTTCATACAATCACAAGAAGAAGAAAAAAAAGTACCTGCTTGACTCAATCTGATTCACAAAAAAAGATATTTCAGATCATAGTAGGTGTTTTGTGTGTGAATCAGAGGCAGAAGATATCAACTGCGTTCTGATCCACTGCAAAACAATAAGACAGATCTGGAATTTGGTTCTAAGCATTTAGCGAATCTGCTGCTGATGCCTAAGACAGTTAAGGAGTTGTTATTAAGCTTCCAAGGAAGAAAAATTAACAGAGAGATCAAAAGATTGTTGCCTACCATTCCAGCTAGCAATATTTGGGTTATTTGGTGGAAGAGAAACACGAGATGTTTTGAAGAGAAGGCCAAACCTGTTCATAGAATCAGATACAAATGTCTGCATTTGTTTGCTCTTTGGTGTAAAGGACTGAATGTATATGTCATAGACAATTAAGATTTCCTAAGCTCCCTGCATTATATGGGATGCTGAGAGTTCCAAAAATTGTACATATGCTGCATTTTCCTGGTACAGGTTCTGATAAATAGAGCTACGTTCTTATTGATTTAAGAAATAGAATTTTGTTACAAACTAAAATCTGCATATTCCTTATTAAGGTACTATGGCACAAAGAGATATGTACCTAATTAAAACGTGGTTTTGGTAATTGGTACATGTTTTTCTCAACCTCCTATAAGACCCTTAGCTGGAGAATAAGCAACAATAGTTTCCACTGAATCAATAATGGATCCGGATCCTAAAAATAACAATGCTTTGGAATAAGCATGAGTAAATCAAATGAAATAAAGTGCTTCAATAAGACCCCATACCTAGAGCTAACATCATACAACCCAATTGAGACATTATCAACCTACTACTAGGTCTTGTCAATACAAGGCCTCAAATTGAATTTACTTCCATGACATTAGCATTCATTAAAAAGCAACCAACTCATAACATTCAAGCGCAAGAGCAGAACACGTGGAAAATAGAAGCCAAGCACTTAATCATATTTGCATACCCAAATGTCTCAAACAAATTACATAAAAGCAATACTCCATGTGATCCAAATTTACGCTAACTAGGTTTAATTACTTTCTCCCATGAGAAGGTGGGGAAGTTGAGATCTGTGGTCTATGTGGTGCTAGATAAGCATTTGTGCTGATTATTGATGATATGCATTTGATAAGAAGGCAAATTCATAGCACCCAAGGGTATGAGACCTAGTAGCCAATGAAGTGGTTGAGACTTGAGAGCCATGAAGTCTCAAGTTCAAATCCCAACAGAGAAAAAAACACTTGGTGATTCTTCTTATTTGTCCTAACCTTGGGATGAGAGTTACCTGTTGCTAGTGGAAGATGGCAGGTATCTCATAAATTAGTCAAGGTAAACGCAAGCTGGCCCGGACACCACAATCATCGATAAAAGAAAAGGTGAATTCATAGCAGGAAGTTTACAACTGAACGAACAATGTTTTTTGTTATTAATAAAGTTCTCAGCTAGTGCCTCTTACAATGATAATAGTAGTCCCATTTTTCTCAACCCTAGATATAAGTTCACTGTCTTAGGGCAGTGTTTTGGACGGAGAAAGGCGACGAGGGTTTGCCTCGCCACAAGGTGAGGCGAGCGGCTCACCTTTTAGAAGTGCAACACCAATTAACACCAAAAAATTAAAATATTTAATTGCATATATAAATAATCAAAAACTCACTAACAATAACATTTAGCAAATATTTCAATTCAAAATAGATAGTAGATACAAAGTCTAGAACCTGAATGAGAAAAAAAGGGAACAAAAGTCAAATCAGTGAGAAAAAATCAAAGGTAGAAGTGACTCTAAAGTGTGAAGAAAAAGAAGGAAAAATAAACAGAGGAAGAAAAAATCTGAAGAAGAAAAATAGAAGAAATTAGAAGAAGAAAAGAAGAAATACGTATTGGTCTCGTCGCCGGAAAAGATTGGCTCGTCGCCTGAGAAGTCTAGTCAAGTCGATTGGTTGGAGTCAGTCACAGTCTAAGAGTGCAACTGCACAAATTTGGAAAGATAACCACAAAATTACCTTTAACATTTAAAAACCCAAAATTGGTCGCCTTTTTTGTTAAGAAAATACAAAAGGTGACATCTTTCTCATCACTGTCCCCATGGCATCGCATTTTGAAGATGGTGGCATCACATAGCTAATAGGCAATGAAGGGTTGCCTTGCCTCTTGCCATTGGCGACGAGGCAATCACCTTCCACAACACTGACTCAGAGATATTTATAAAGATTGTTTTCTTTTCCAGAGAGATTCGAAAACACTTCCACTATGTTTCCTTTCAGAATGTTTCCGAAGGGGGAATCAATAGCAAATGGCTCATCCAATCTTTCACATCAAATTCTTGGCTTTTCACAAAAATTACAAAGAAAAGAAAAAGAGTTCTTATACATTTTTAAATTTTCTAATGAATAGTCCTGTAAAAGTTGGTGGTGTATGCCTCTTCTATGATAAAAGAAGTCTCATTTCTTCTCCAGCCCCAGATACAAGCTAGCTGGCTCAAATATGTTCTCAAGTAATGTCCCCGCAGTCATTTTCCTTTTCCAGAGTATAAATTCGACACACTTCCTCCATGTTTCTTTTCACAACTTTTTCCAAGAAAGAGTTGAAAGCAAAAGGTTCATCATGATTCTCACATCAAATTCTAGCATATAATGTAACAAAAACAATTTGTTTCTAAAATTCTCATTATTCTTGCAAGTAAAACACAGTTTTTTGCTGAACCACCACAACAATTAGAAACCGATCATCACATCAATCAACAAGTGCTTGTATTAAAACAGGTGAACCAACAATATAAGGAGGAAATCATTTATTAATCTAACCACAAATGTCCAAGTCCAAATCCAAAAGTCTTGAACTACAAGAGAATCTGCCAGTTTAACAGATAAAACGAAAATGAAGGCAAAGGAAATTAGAAAGTGACAAATAAAAGTGGAATCTTTAGTAACCCAAATGCACATCATATTTCTCATTACAAGTTCACTTAATTTTCAAGCAATGACACCATAATACAAAATTAAAAGGAATAGTAATGAAGAAGCTGATACATTTAAGAAAAGAAGAAGACATGAACTTTAAATAGAAATACCTGAAGAAGAGGAATTGTCGGAGTTCTTCTTACCCATAGCTTTAACCAGTAAAGAGTGATACCCAGAACCAGAAAAAGCCCGTCTTTTAGGAACTCTGATCTCAAACACCTTCCAATTTTCAACTCTGACATTTTTCAAATAGCCAGAAACAAAGTGCTTGTCAGAAATTGAATTTCTGAATAGCAGATTGGTGTTCTTAACATGTACAGACCAAAGATCCATGATTTGAGAGCAAGAAAATGAAAAAAAATTGACCTTTTCCTCTCCACTTTTTTGGTATATTTCGAGTGGAACTGAAATGGGTTCTTGGAGATAGTCAGGACGTTAACAATGAAAAGATGGAAAAGGGGATATGTAGAGGGAGAGGACAAAGACAAGAAAATGACAGAACGAGAGAGCGAGCAAGAAATTTTTAGGACTTGGGAAGAATATGCTTATTGTTAACCGAATTGATAAAGAGGGGATTTGATTTGATGATCAACGAAAGGGTTTGAGGTGAAAATTATAGTATGATATGATCGTCATCATTTTGGGTTTTTCTGGGATGGGTGGGTGGGTGGGTGGGTGGGTGGATCGGATCATCCATGAATTGGGTGGGCCCCACAATCAGATTTTTTTTTTTTATTCACTTTATAAAACACAACACAAGTAATGTAGAGCTTTTTTCCTTCTCAAACAAATTTCATCTCTTTTGTTATAAAATAATTATTAAACTAAAACAAAAATAAGGGAGTAAGAGAGTACTTATTTCTTTTGAGTTATTTATTTTATTACAATAAAGAAAAATCTCCTAATTTGGTCCAAAAGCTAGAATTTTTAACTTTTCTCCAAGAAAACATATAAAAATAAATATTTACTATATTATAAATATATTTTATAACACTCCCATTGAATGTTTATTTTATAGATAATGTGCCTCGTTTAAATCTTACTAGAAAAAATACAGTTGAAAAATTCTAGTAAAGAAAAAGGAGTACACATATTCAAATATACGCATTTTAATTGTCTCATTATAGATCTTAAAAAGAAAATCTAGTGGAATAAAACCTCGTAAGAGAAAAAGAGTACAACACATAGTAACTCCCCTTGATGAGATTATTTCACAACCTCATAAGAGAAAAAGAGAGCACAAGACAAAAACTCACAAATCCTCTCAAGTTAGCCTATTTCACAACACTTCTTCAAACTTTGACGTACCACACCAATCCCTTCACCAAGTTCGATATCGGACTCACCAGAATCTACTTCCGAGAATTTTATGGACTCCTTAACGTCTTAGCAACAATGAAAACAAACTCTACCTAGACGTTTTGTCCAATCCCTTCCCCAGGTTTCCCTAGACTTTACCTCACTCAGATTTCATCCAAGTTTAGCCTAGCGTGAAACTTTTAACTCTTTACTCCAAAAATATTCTCGCCCGATTTCTTTCACAATTAGTTCATCGATAACGATGAAAAGGGTCGTTACACTAGATACCAATTTACCCAGCATTCATTCCCGAACGATCCAACAAGAAAAGATAAGCTAAGTCAAGAAGAAAGTAGCACCTGAATCCTCAAACAAATGAGGGTACTTATCCCCCATATCTCTCTCGGTTTCCCTATTGGCTTTTTCATCTAGATGATGTTTCCATTGAACCTTCACCAACCCGATTTCCTTTGTTCTCAACTTTCGGACATCACCATCAAGAATAGAAACTGATTCTTCCTCGTACTGAAGGTCCTTATTTAACACAATGTAAATCCCATTTGATGATGTACTCTCCATCCCCATGGTATCTCTTTAGCACGTATATGTGGAACAATGGATGGACTCCATACAAGTAAGGTGGCAATGTCAATTTGTGAGCTACCATATCCACCCCTTCAAGAACCTTAAAATTGACTGATATATCGAGGACTAAGCTTACTCTTCTTGACAAACCTCATCACTCATTTCATGGGTGATACTTTCAACATAACATTCCCATCGACCTGAAATACCAAGTCCTTGACCTTGAGATCTACATACTTTTTTTGTCCAATAACTTGGTGTGGATATCTGTAACCTTTTCCTAAGCTTCTATTACCAAGTCAGCACCTAGAGGCTTTACATCACTTACCTCAAACCACCCTATAGGCAATCTACATTACCTCTTATAAAGTGCTCCGGATCTATGTCAATACTAGTGTGATAACTATTATTATAAGAAAACTCACACAAGGATAAGAATTGATCTCAATGGCCCCCAAAATCAATCACATGGGATCTTAGCATGTCCTCCAACACCTGAATTATTTTCTCCGACTAACCATCTATTTGTGGATGAAAGGCTATGCTAAACATGAGTTGGGTGCTCAACACTTCATGTAACTTACCCCGGAACATATAAGTAAATTGTGTACCTCAATCTAAAATGATGGAAAGAGGCACCTCGTGCAACCTTACTGTCACGACCCGAGTCTACACCCTGGACGTGGCAGGCACTCAAGAACCATTGATGGTCCCCAAGCGAACCCTCATCCAGGCTAACTACAAGCGAAAGACTAACTTAAGCATGCAAAAGCTTAAAAACTGAATAAAAATCCATGAAACTGAAATACAAAACTTTAACTCAAATGAAAAACTCTATATAAAAATAAATTATTCAACTCGCCATAAAATAGGCAACTTAAGTCTTTAAAACATTGAATAAAATGAATAATACAGACTTCTCAACTATACTAACTATCTATGAAGCCTCTAACTGATAAAGATGGAAGTCGGGACAAGACCCACCACATCTTGACTAAACTGAAAAGTAAATGAAATCCTCCGGAAAAAAAGGAGACTCACCATAGCTAACTCGAACTCTCAGATGTATCAACGAATCTCGTATTGATGATCCTGAATACTTGTGTCTGCATCATAAAAGATGTAGGCCAAATGACCCAGTACGTAGAATGTACGAGCATGTAAGAGGAATTCTAAAGCATAACATAAGCTTGAAACTTGATACAAAGGAAACATACTTACCTCTTCTCAAACTTATTCAACTCAAGGAATACTCAACGATACTCAAAACTTCTCAACTTACTCAACTCAGAAGTATTCAAAGATAAGATACTCAACTCAGAGATTAGATACTCAACTCAGAGATTAGTTACTCAACTCAAAGATATGATATTCGACTCTAGGTACTCAACTCTAGATACTCAACTCAATATAAAGCAACAATACACATGCAATATATGAAAAACTTTATAAAACAGTAAAACAACTTAGTTCGTTAAAGAAAATGCAATAACAAACTCAACTTTACTTATATAATAAAGTAATATAGTTTCTGTGGGAGTTTCTCTAACCGACAACCATCACTTAAGAGCTATAGTGATGATACATCACTTTACCTCACGCTGCCAAGGACCATCCTATACTTTGCCATCAGTATAGGACTTAACTGAACTTAGTGGATCCACTAGTCTATGCGAAAAGGATTCATCTAAAAAGTATGACCATTTTCTACCCATGATGGCTACGTGGTTTTCATGGAGACTTGAGTTAATATGAAACTCGCATCCCCACATCGATACTCAATAATACTCCCAAAATGTACTTAGCTCATCTGTTTTTAAAAAAACTTCTTCTCTGATTTGAGATAATTCCTCAAACATAGCTTAAAAGCTCTCTTGGAATCGATGTTCCCTTTTCTTGCTCAAAACTCTTTTGGAAATCTCAGTTTCCTCTCATCTTAAATGTGAAAACATTTACTCTTGGGAATACTTAGTTACCATATATCATTTTAAAGAAAATGAACTTTACTCTTAGTTTTTACTCAACTTCAAAGCTTAAGTCTTAAAACTAAGTTTAAACATTTGTAAAAGACTTCTTAAAATATGGTTCATGCCGAATGATAGATATGAACGACTCAATACAAGGTTTTAATAACCATAGATAGAACTCAATACTTGAAACTCAAGAACTTCAATGATACTACTCATCTCAAGATTTTTCGACTTATAGTGTTCATGCGGAATTATGGGCATAAAATATTCAACTCAAGTACTCAAAGATGCTCAAAAGGGATTAGGAGCTCATCACTTAAAGGCTTAGAACTTGAAGATACCACTTCTCTGAAAGATGCTCAACTTACGAAGTTCATGTGAAATTATGGGGATGAAACAACTCGACTCGATGGTCTACATAACTATATGGAACTCATGTATACGACTCTTCTTATTCTCTGACTTACTTCCTCAAAACTTAGTTCAAATCGATAGGTGATCTCAAAGGATTCACAATTGAACTCAAAGGCTTTCTTGAACTCTACTCTTAACTCTCTCTTGAATGTGAATTATGAATTCAAGAGTTATAGTTCATGATAAGAAAGATCTCATGATGACAAGGTAGACTCATGAATACATTATTCTCACTCTCATACTCACTTGCTCGAGTCTTGAAATAAGTTATTAAAATTTGTAGAAGACTCCTCAAAAAGGACTTAAAGGACTTTCTTAGAATGTTCAAAAGAATTCTCAAAAACTTAACTCTTAACTCTACCTTGAATTTGAATTATGAATTCAAGGTTATGATTCATGTTCATGGATGATTTCTAGGTGTTTAGAAGTCATTTAGAGTAGTTAGAATCAATGGAATGTGTTAGGAAACTTTAGAATAACTTAAATAGGCTAAACGACAAAAAAATGGTGAAAAAAGCCGATCCAAGCGCGTCCCTGGCGCGCTGCGCCAGGCCCCAATTAACTGGGGATCGTTTCTAGCACGTCGCCCCAGCCTTCCTGGCGCTATGGGGGCGCGTCGCGCCACCTGTTTCTTAGGCAAAAATCTGACGAACTTTTCCTCTTGTTTTTTGACCTTAAATCACTTTTAATCGATTTCTTTTCTCAAGTTTTCCTTAGATTCAATCACCCAACCTATGTACACACTAATCCACTCAAAACAATTATTTTAATCTCAAGATATCATCAAAACCCCAACAAAACAAGATTTAGAATGAACTTCAAGAACACCTATCAAGAACTTAAATCCTTCAACTTTTTGAGAATGAAACTTCGTTGAAAATAATATGTTTGGCGTGTGGGTGAATAAACCCAACACTATGGAAGCTTACATATATCTTAGGGATCAAACCCATGGCGACAATCTGCAACAACTCTCAAGAATTTCGACGAATGCTTCGATCCTTTCTCTTTTCTCCTCTTTTCTCTTCTTATTTTCTCTTCTTGAACTCTCAACTAAAACCCTAATGATTATAAAACTGAACCTAATCATATTAGACCCCTAAAATATTACTAAAAAGGAATTAAATCTGATTGGGTAAGGAAAAGACCAAAATACCCCTCTAAAATCCGGTTTTGACTTTCCTTATTTAGACAGCCCAACTTCGAATGGACATATCTCCCTCATACGA